AACTACACTGAACTAGTACATGTGGAATTTGCTGCATGGAATATGTCAAATCTACAAAAATGATGTTTCAAAAATAATGAAGAGCATTTAGTGAAATTTATTCATACGCATGAAAATGCACAAAAACATATGCATTACTTCTTGACAGCTCAGCGTCCAGTGTCTCACATCTTAGAAGAAGAATTTAGAGTATTTTCCAATTAAAAAAGTTTAAAAAAAAGAGAACCACGCCGTGAACAATGGATCAAAATCTATTGCCAGAAATGCGTTTCAGTTACCGAGCAAAATACACTACTGCAAATGAAAGCTCCGGAACAGGGAGCATCCAAACGCAGTAATCTTCTAACCAAAATGACTTTTTCTTTTTATTTTTTTTTTCACTTCTAATCTTCTAAATTTTTCTAAAAAAAAGTAAATCTTCTAAATTTCGCAACAATCAGTTTGTTATCATTTCGCAAAATAATTCAATAGTTCAATAACCAGTAAATACTTCATTTCCTCTGCACCAATTTTGGTTCCAAATTTTCAATTCGGTGCATTTTTCCAGTCGCTTTCTTTTCGGGAAAAATCATCCTTCACTCATCCCTTTCGCTTCCCCCCTCCCCCAGCCTCTTCTCGCTCCACGAATTCAGATTAAGGCCTTTCACAAGGAGCAAAAAACCGGAAAAAACGAACCACCAAAGGTAGGGGTATGTCGGCTGCGTTCCAATTGTTCATCAGAAACGGAAGATCCGGGAAGAGAAACGTGTTTACCATGATTACTTGCTGCTGTTTGTCCAACTATAATTTGTGCTTGAAAAAGCATAGCTCTTTGTAAAATATCGTAGACACGACGCTCTATCAGTTTACTGTATTTTAACAATCTGTAAAAAAAAAAAACAGTATAGAGGGATCAACTATAAATACCAGCAGAACCAAGAACATCCGGATATTCGGTGTGTGTTGAATTCCTTGTTAATAATGTTACTAGGATTCTGTGCTTGTGCTTCTCCCTGCGTTTGGAGCAAGCCAAAATTATCTCCACAGGTCATTCTGAAAACAACTGCTACCAACAGTTTCTTTATATCCGCCTCGTTGCTAGCTTTACATCTTTGTAGCTTCTCTTGCGAATGACATTTCTACTAGTATTGTTAAATTTTGCTCGGAAATCGCCCACAGCAAACAGGTACTTAGACTAGACGAGTGTACGGATTCGAGTTCAATATGCAATTCTTCCAGTTCCCTTGTCGTCGCTGGTCATCATAGGAGCGTAATTTGGATGATGAAGGTTCCACTGGAATCTAATTTAGGTGGAATTATGCCGACTCGCGACCCGTGAAGCCAATAGATGATTTGTGAAGATTTAGTTCCCGCTGAGAATAAACCCGATTCTTTTCTCTTTCTATCGCCAGCGCTTAGCAAAATCGTTTTACCATCCGCCCAAGCTACATTGTGTTCAGAGTTTCGTGTTTAAGACACGCGGAAGACGTTTCCTCGGGAGAGATGGGTCGTGAGTTCATCCCACGATAGCATTTTACAGTTACAGATAGAATATCGAAAAGCCCCGACTGTTCCATTGTGGTATCTTTCTGAGATTTCTCCTTGCCCCATTCACATGTAGAAAATAACAAATACAATAAATTTGTCAGTTTCCAGCTCCTTTATAGGAAGAAGCGCGCCTGCTAATGAGCATGGCAGAAATGAGAAGAGACATACTCGTTGTGTGCAAAGACCAACTGATCATCGCTTTTTGCGTATAAAATTTTTCTCGACGAATCAATTCGTGCACACATTTCACCACTTGAAATCAAATCAACAAGCTCATCCTCCAACTGAAACATTTCTTATCAGAGATTACCAACAGTTTGTAATGGCTCGGCACAATCTGTGCATGTAGCCATCGAAAAATTGTGCAGTTTTAGTTAAAAAATATACCTCATCAACAGTGACGCGGAAGACGAGTGCCATTTTGTTCATATTAATCGTTGCATATGGCGTAAAGTACTGCACAATAGCACGTCGACGAATCAGCTGATATAACTGCTTCACATGCATCCACAGATACATGTTCAACAGAAGTTCGTCGTGAAGCTATAAAACGAAAAAAAGAAAAACCAAAATGCAAAAATGAGCCTATTTGTGACGGCTCCAAGCCAAAATCAAGATTTCCCCCTATCGGCCTCAACAATAAAGTGTCCAGCAATGGAATTAAAAAAGTAAATATAAGCATAAGAATTAAATATAAAAGTAAATATAAGCATAAATATCAGAACCTCGTCCATGAGATCGAAGCAAATTCCGAATTGACTTTTCACAAATTTCTGCACCAGCTCAACATATTTCGGCTCGGCTTCAAGAAACTTTCGGAAAACTTCGTTCTCCAAAACGTTTTTTTTCAATTCGGATCGATCGAAAGTTGCTAGTGCACAGATTGTGCCGAACATTACAATATCCTTAGCTGCCAACAATGTTGGGCAATCAAACGAATCGAATTCGATCTAGAATTTGCGACAAACTCCATGATTTGATGACTGAATACAGATTCCATTTATAATATGCGTCTCGCCAAATTAAAACTGATCCCGAATGCATTTTCGTAATAAGTTTGGCAACTCCAGATTTTAGCTTCATTTAACAACTGATTTTTGCGCATTTCCAATAAAATTCGACTCTTTCTTCGATCTTTTGCTTTGCAGTCAAAATTTGGAGAAATTTTTTTCTCGAACTGGAGAAAATTTGGAGTTTTATACAAGTCAAATCTATCCCTGACTACCCCTTTTTACAATGGTACTTCTCGGGTTCTTTCATTTCTAAAAATAAAACAATTCCTCTCCCAGCTGCAGCACGTAGAGTTTGCCAAAATGCGCGGGTAATATATGGAATTTGTAGGTCTAAACGTACCTTCAGGCATTTCTTTGCCACCTGTCTATAGTTTTTGCTGTTCAAATGGCTCAAAGCCGAAACAGCGATGACTTTGGCGGTCGAAGTGGTGATAAGCTTTTTCATGTTTCTAGTTGCCGAAAGAGTGGAGTTTACGGCACGTGGGCCTGGTCGGCTTGTCGATGTTGCAGCAACGTTCTCCACTTCCACTGCTTCCACTGAAAAACATGGATGATTCAATCCAGCTGAAGGGCATTTGCTGTAGCACAGATGTCTATTGAGCATTAATATTTAAATGGGAAAAAAGTCGCTTTGAAATGAATTTTCAAAAAACAATGATGGAATTTGTGGAAAAACTGGGATAAAAGAGCAGTGGTATTTTGAATCTGTAACGGCAGACGATTTTCTTTTTAACGGAGCGAACTGGAGGGGAAGAGATGGTCGAAATTGCAGTAATAATAAGACAAGACGATCAGTAAGCAACTGGACCAGTGCGGCCCTGAAATATAAAAAAAAAGAAGTATAAAACATACAGAGAGCTCTATCAGCCTGCACAATCAGTGGATCCAAATGTTGCCACTGCTTCAAATGCACAGTAACTTCGATCCAGTTCATCAGCATCTGAAAAAAAGGCTACGACATCACAAAAACAATGGGAGAAGGGTTCAGCACTGCCCCACAGTTTTCCAAACTAACACCACAGCGCTTTCACTGTTACCAGCTACATCAAGTATTACATTTGTCACCACTCTGTTGCCGCCTGAATGATTTTCGACCTAGAGACACTACGTTCGTCGGCTGTTGTCCAAAAATTAGCTAAATATCCAGGTCAAAAGGGCCTACTTCCTTTCGAAATCACTAAGATAATCTACACTCATAATTTACATTCGCCGGCGTAATCTATTTTTATAAAATCAAGCTAAATTCCATGCAACCTTCGCGCCTGGTCACTAAAAAGCGTCTTTTTTTCACAAATTCATCAGTTCGCATGTGCGCTTCACCAGTGCTTTCGAATATGAAAAGCTCATTCTGTGTGATATTCTGTGAATCGCTTCCCGGAAATCTTTCGACATGATATGCGGCTGATTTGCAGCAGTAACAGGGAGCTCCCAGCGTTGGTGATATCTGTTCATCCCTATTTTGTATTATGTAAGTTTTAAACAACCTGAATGATGTGTTTATGGGATGTGCAGTACTCGCGTATTCCACGATTATAGAGTTTGGCAGCATCCTGTAGCTGCCCCATTGAGATGTACTGCTCAAAAACATCTTCAAATGCACGTCGAGCAGATTCCTGGAAACCAATGCTCGCTTATATTAGGCAGACGAAATAAAGACGGCTGAATGTGGTGGCGTAAAATTTTTGTTAATCCAATTTTTGTTAATTTTTGTTTTTGTTAATTTTTGTTAATCTTAATTTTTGTTTTTTTTAGTTTTTGTTAAAATTTTGTTAATTTTTGAAATTTCTGAAACATTTCTCAAATATCTTTTAATTTTGAGAATCAAAATTTTGAAATATGGCACTACCTTAATGCCTTCTTCTTTTTGTCTGTTCATTTCAGCAACGAGCATATCCAAGCGTGTTTGCGATTTCATTGCCATTGAGTCCATCCACTGGGAATCGAGACGTGGCCACTCATCTGCAGAACTGTCTGTCCC